GTGTTTTTCCAATGATCTGTTTCCCACTAGAACTAAATTCTATGAGGACATGGAGCATAGATGTTTTGCTCACCATTGTATCTCTAGCATAACACCTGGACCCAGTAGGCATCCAATAAATATATACTTATTCAATGAATGAATGAATGAATGAACGAATGATTAAAGATGTAGAGCTAGATTCTTAGATGAAGGGCAAGGTCTCACTGTTTCCTCTGGCTGGGGTGATGAAAGGCCAAGCACTGGGAGACCCACATCCTATGCAGTGCTGGAGGTGTGGAGCAAATCTAGCCCTGAGCTAGAATGTAGATGACTTTGCTGACATATTCTGGGTGAGTCTTTTTGCAGGGATGAGCAGAGAGTGGAAGAAAGGCAGGGTCTTGTAAGAGAAGCGCAATACCCAGCTTTCGATACGGTGGCTCTGGAGTTTTGGAGCATATTTGCCATGGGAGCAGATTGGGACTAGGGACCAAGAAGGCCAGACATCTCCCAGCTGCAGTGGAATAGGTCTGTGCCTGTCCTGACAGACTGGGATTCAACCCTTGGCTCTATCACTTACTTGCTGTGCGACCTGGGACAAGAAGACCAACCTCTCTGAGCTCCTGCATATTCATCGTTAGAGAGGGAGCAATTACTCTCTCCTGTCAGGGTAGCTGTGAGGATTAATGAGAGAATGTCTGTGGAGAGCCTAGAAGAATGTCTGGCACATAGTACATGCTTCATAAAAATATGATCTCATGAGTCTGTAAACATCCTGCAGGAGGAGGCCACATAGCACTTAGTAGGTGTGTTAGGAAGTCTTTGTTAATGATTTCATAAATGGTTGAACGTATTTTCCTTCAGAAGGATTTCCTTTTCCAGGAAGGATTCCCTGTGTCTAAAAATTTCTCCCTCATTCAAACCAATTGCTTTGTGAGAGACTCAAATTCCTGTGTTTTGAAACCTCAGAGCCAAAGGGTTAGTGTGTATATTTGTGGCGGTGGCCCTGTCCTGAGTCATCTCTGAGACCCTTGCCCTCCCTTGTGCTCTTGTGGGAGGCAGGAATTCGTCAGCCTCATCAGCCTCGATTTGAATGAGAGGAGCAGAGAAACAAATCAACGGAGAGAGGGATTCCTATTTGGTCCCAGCACTATGAGAACACAACTGTTTCTTTGAAATTGACCTTCATTTATTTGGAGGGGAAAGCAGTTAGTTCAATAATGGCTTCCTGGTGCCTTTCAGCATTTTAAAAGACGGAAGAAAGATTTGGAGCAAGGCAAGGTTCCAGTGTTTTCTAAACAACGCACTAAACTCAGCTACCAGTTGGCTGCCCAGCACTTCCTGCCCCCACACCCCCCACCCGCCAATCTATCCCCACAATGCAGTGTACATCCCTTAGTAGCCCAGCTGCTCCTTGAGACCCTGACCAGCCCAGGTCTTCCCCAGGTGGGTGGGAGCTAGGCTTCATTCTTGGGCCTGGCAGCTGAAGATTCCTTGGACATCTTGCACATGGCCCATTGAGTAGAAATGCTGCTGTATTATATTCCAATTATTTCCTGTCCCTCCATGGCCCAGTTCCAGGGGCCGCATAAAGAGGTCCTTGTTTGGTGGAGTCCATCCCTGCTCCTGAGTAAGTGAGAGTTGGTCCCTGGCCCAACTTGGTCTGAGGCCACAGGGGAAGGGTGGGGAGGAGGTAGGGAGGGTGTTACAGGTGGGGAGAGCACCACAGGAGATGAGAAGCCCAGCCCTGCATGCAACCCAACCCTGCTCCCAAAAATAAAAATAAGGGAGGAAGGAAAACAATTGGGGCCCCCTGACCAGTACCCCATAGAGGGCACGGATATTTTCTCTCCTTCCCAGGAGGGATCCCAACCCTTCTCTCCCACAGAGAAGACAAACACAGCTATGGAAATCACATGCCATCCAGGCACCTGGAAGTCTGTCACTAATTTGAAGGTACTCCTACCTGCACTTCTCTGCTTGCCAATGACCAGCTCCCCCTAGATCCGCTTTCTCTCCTTGTGAGTGAGAAGCATTTCATGGAAAATTTTGAATTTGCAACCTTGTTCAGATTCCAAAGAGTTATTGTTCTACATCATGCTCCTTTTGTTTGGGTGTTATTTGAACTCAGGGGAAGTAGAAACCCATATCTCCCTTTTGCTGCGATACTTTCCCTAAGTTATTAAGAACATGTTAATTAAGCACCTTCTCTGTTGTTCAGAGTCCATCTCAAACCCAAGGCCTGAAGTCCATATTTTGTACCTGTCAAGACTTGGGAAGCCAAGGGAGAAGAGGTGGTAGAGTAGCTTAGGGATAGCACATCAAGAGATCTCCAGGAGGCAGTGTCAGGGGTGTTCAGAAAGGTTTCATGGCAAGGAGAGGAGAAACAAATTCTGAGAGCATGCCACGGAGGCCAGGGACCTGAGACGTCAGGGGGTTAAAGTCTCAGAAAGTCATGAACAGAAAGGGAAGAAAAGTGGAGGAGCTAGCATGGGTGAGAAGAAACTGAGAGAGAAACTGAGTTTGAAGAGCAGGACCCACAGAGAAACCACATCAACCTATACCACCACGTGCCTGGGGAAGGGTTAAGCTTTGCAGCATTTAAAACCTTGGTGTCCAGGAGGCTGGAGCCTGAAGGTTGCTGAGAGGTCCTCTGGCTAGTGATTCTCAAAGCCTTGATTTGTGGACCACTTCTTCAGAATCACCTGGTGTGCTGGTTAAACATGAGGATTCCTGGGACCCATCCGATTTACTGAATCAGATTGTCTGTGGATTATGTCTAAGACGGTGAATGTTTATCAAGTTCTACAGATGACTCTGATCTTTATTAAAATCTGAGAGCCCTTGATTAAGTCCAACTCTCTTTTTCCCTGGAAGTGAGATCTGAAGTCCAGAGAGGTTAAGCAACAAACCTAGGGTAACAGAGCTGACTGATGGCAAACCTCACAGGAAGACTCCATTGCGCTTGGCCCCCAGGGCAGTGCTCTTTCCCTTTCAGCATGCAGGCAGCCTCTGCGCCTATTTGGACCTGTTTCCATTGCCCCCTAAAGTGAAAGCTTGCACCTTTGATCCATTCCCTGCATCCTGCTGTGGCCTTCTCCTTCCTGAGGATGCTCTGGTCATAGCCTCTGCAGGCTGGAGGGCAGAGGCAGAAGGAAGAAAGGAGAAAGACTCAATTCTCTTCTGAGCCTTTAATAGCGGTGTGGGATTGGCAACTGAGTAGAGAAGGAGAAACACAATTATAGCTGAGGGGCGGTTGGGATTTGGTTTGTAGTACAAAGCTAACTTTCATTAAGCTTTTGCTGTGCACCAGACACTGCATTAAGTCCTTTCCATGCATTAGTGCAAACCCCATGGAGCAAATAATAATTAGCCCTATTTTGCAGATGGAGAAACTGAGGCTCACAGACCATCAGTCATTTGCCCAAGGTCTATAGCTAGTATATGACCAAATCGCTTCCATGTACAACCATGATCTTTACATAGCCCAAACCAGTGTGAACTCTTACCCACTTTAACCCAACAAGCCTGCAAGAGGACCCCAAGACTTTGGAAAAAAAAAAAAAGAAAGCTTCTCTGCAGTGAGATGTGACCACTCCTGGGGGTGGGGTACAGCTTCAAATGCTTTCCACGTAACATACTAAAAATATTTCCCAAAGGCATTAACTTAACTTGCAAGCCTGCCTTAGAAATGACAACACGGAGAGTAGGTTAAACACCTTTTTTTCCCTTTATCTTTTTAAAATGGAAACTCGTGATGTCAATTTGCTTTCTTTCCATTTGCCCTTTTTCTTGTGAAAGCAGTGTGTCTCCAGAATTTTAGTTATTTGAGGGATTTGGTTATGTTCAGTGCTAATGGAGCCCCGGGTGTGATCACAGGCATATACGGTGCATGGCATGTAGCAGCCGTTACCTCTTCTGATATCATGGCACATGACTTTGCAATGATCACCTCCCTCCATTCATTTTCTGGAGTGTCCCCCAGGGATGGGAGAGGAAACCAAAGCAGATCCGTGCCTTAGAGAAGGGACAAGTGTTTCCCAAGCCTTGTGGACAGCATGTCACAGTGCCCTCCTGTAGGTTTACCTCCGAACCAGACCTTGTCTTCTTAGGAAAAATCAGGAAGCTTTTTGAGTAACTTAGTAAGACCACTAAACAAAAGAAGATGGACATATTTGTATAGGAGAGGAAGAACTCCGTTTCATCCCAGCAGGGTTTGGTGTCCGGCAGCCTAAGGTGAGGGGCCGCTGTACTTTAAACCTGGGTATTCCATGAGTCACCAGAGTTAGGAACATTTTTGGGTAAAAACTGAAAACATGTGGCCCTCTGGCTGTCCTCCTTCTCTTTCAAATCTCAAGCTTTGGATAACTCAAAGGCTGATTGGGGCAGTGCGGGTGTTAAAATGTTCTTATTAACTCATAGTGAAGGGAAGTGCATTGAGGTGAGAGCAGGCAGTGAAGGGAGGAGGGGAGAATGCAGCCTCTGCAAAGCTCACGGGGGAACGTGGGTCTCTGCAAGAGCCCTGGAAATGCTGAATGAAAACTGCCTCTCTGCGTACACGAGCTGCCTGCCTGCTTCCCAAATGCCGCGTCTGCGGTAACTACAAACTATTTTGTATGCTGCATTAGTGACGCTGCCTTAGCCGGCACATCATTACTACTGAGATAACACTGGTGTGATGTTCAAGTCCAGTGTCCTTTTTAATTATTAAACTGACGCTGTTGAATGAGTCATGCTACATACCAGATTTTCCTCCTGTGGTTCTATTTCGAGTGACTAGCACCTTACTTACTGTGTTCCCCTAACACCTGAGTCGGTTCTTAGCCAGCTGCCCAATCTGCAAAGCCTTTGCAGAACAAACAGTATTCTTCAATCTCCAAACACACAGAGACTGCATAAAAAACAACCCCCCCACACACCCACACCCACACACACCCACACCCACAAAACTTTTCGGTAAGCTCATCGGTGAACCCAAGATCTGAAAACACCCGGTTCCCCTCCAGCAGTCCCCAACTTACCAAGTGGTAGAGCGATGAAGAAGGGTAGCCAGCACAAGATGAACATACCGACCACAATGCCCAAGGTCTTGGCTGCTTTCTTCTCCCTGGAGAACTTAAAAAGTTTGACGGCTATGGAACTCCTGGGGTTGTGGCCCTTGGCCTTGGTACTGCTGAGGGTGTCCTCGTGGAAGTTCTTGGAGTGGATCCTCAGAGTCAGCTCCTTGGAGTTGGACATCTCTTTCATGACTCCGGCTTCCAGGTTCTTGGTGGTCCTCTTGGCAACGATGTACACGCGACAGTACATGACCAGAATGACCGCCAGCGGGATGTAGAAGGAGCCCAGGGAAGAGAAGAGGGCGTAGAAGGGTTCCTCGGTGACCCCGCATTCCTTGTCATCGTTGGGCGCGGGCTCCTTCCACCCAAGGAGAGGCCCGATGGAGATGACCGTAGACAAGACCCAGACGCCGAGGAGCGCCAGGATGGCCTTCCTGCGGGTGACCAGCGTCGGGTACTGCAGCGAGTAGCGCACCCCGATGTAGCGGTCGATGGAGATGGCGCACAGGCTCAGGATGGAGGCCGTGCAGCACAGGACGTCCACGGCGGCCCAGATGTCACAGAAGATCCGTCCCAGCACCCAGTAGCCGAGCACCTCCAGGGCCGCCGAGAAGGGCAGCACGGTGAAGCTCAGCAGCAGGTCGGCGATGGCCAGGTTGACGATGAAGTAGTTGGTGGGCGTCCGCAGGTGACGGTTGCAGGCCACCGACAGGATGACGACGATGTTGCCCACGATGGCGAAGAGGATGAAGGCGCCCAGCACCAGGCCCACGGAGATGGCCCTGGTGATGTCCAGCTGGGGCAGTGTGGAGTTGCTCGCGGTCTGGTTGGGGCCAGTGAAGTTGGCATTCTCCAACTCTCCCCAGCGGGCAGGTGCGGATGTGTTGTGGCCGGCGTCCAGATCGGGATTCATTTTAGAGTCGGCGCTCCATAGCCTGGGTGAGCGGGCTGGAAGGGCTGCGGCCGCGCGGCTCAGCTGCCCCGCGCCTCGGCGTGGCCCGCGCTCGGCTTCCCCGCGGCGCCCTCCCGGCGAGGGCGCATCTCCCCGGCGGCGCGGCCCCGCGGCCCCGCGGCGCGTCTCCTGCGCGCACCGAGCCGCCCGCCCGCCGGCTGCCAGGGGAGGCGGCCGACACAGGGGCCGCGGCGGCCGGCTCCAAGTTTAATGGTGCGCGTCAGGCGCGCGGGGGCCGGCCGGGGGCGCGGGCGGGGGGCGCCCCGCGGGCGGGGGGCGGGCGGCGGGCGGCGGCGCCCGGCCCGGCCCAGCCTGCGCCGAGGAGGGTCTGCTCGCACCCGGCCGCCTCTGGGCTGACTGCTCGGCGGTGACATCAGGCGGGGGAGCCCGGCGCCCTGACTCCGCGCGGCACTAGGGGGCAATGCGGGCCCAGCCAAGGCGCCCGCAGCCCCGACGCCGCCACCCCGGGCGGCCGCGGGCCCCGCGCCCCCCGCCCCGCCCCGCCCCAACCCCCAACCCCCAAACGACGCGAGCCTCGCGCAGAGGAGGGGGGAGGAGCGACCCGAGAGTGGGGACCCGTGTCCCCCCACCCCGAGGTGGCCTGGCGGGATCCTTGCCCCTTCTAGTCCCCCTGCTGCAGTCCCAAGAGTGGAATGGGGCGCTTGCTGCTAATGGGGGCGCGCCTGCAGGCAGCACCCAGATTTAGGGGGGATGTGCAACTTGCGTGGCGCCTGGAAAGAAAAGGATCGCGAGGCAAGGCAGGTGAGAGGGACTTGAGTGGGATCTGAGACCCCCACCCCCCGCCTTGACTTCCCCTGGGAAGCCTCTCTGGTCTCCTAATAAAGCCCAGACGCTTCTCATCGTTCATTTGTTTATTTGCTCTCTCTCTCTCCCTCCCTCATTCGTTCATTCAACAATTTTTTAACCCAGGACCGGCTGCCCGCACTGGGGGACATAGCAATTGAACCAAGTCGGCAAAGACCCCTGCCCTCCAGGAGCTTGCACTCCACCGGGAGGAGACAGACAATGAGCACATAAGTAGTCCAATTACGAGGTGTGTCCTCCACGGACAGGTGTGACAGAAAATAAAGCCTGGAAGGAGAAATGGCGTGGTGATGTATGTTGCGGGGAAGGGTATTGGAAGTTTTAAATGGGTTCTCCCCACGTCACTGAAGTGATGCTTGAGTCAAGTCCTGAAAGTAGGGAGGAACAAACCAATGGACTATCTGTGGGTGAGCGGGGGCGGTGGTGGTGACAGCATAAGAGATCTCCAGGCATTTGGGGAAGGGACTTGTGAAATCTGGGTTATTTATTGATTATTTTTCCTTTTCTGTCTGATATTCATGTTGGACATGCAGTTGTAGGGACACACTCCCGAAGGTGGGTGTATGGTACTTAGGAGAGAAGTTACGGGTTGAGGGACAGCCTTATGTTAGTTAACATTTATTCAACACTTGTTATGTGCCAAACAGCACGCTAGGTACATTTTGCATTTTCTCACAATCCTAAGAAAGAAGGGCTCTTCTCATCATTATTTCCATTTCGTGGGTGGGACAAGATACAGTGAAGTTTGTCTTTGCCCAGGTCCACACAACCATCATGGAGAGAAACTGGGAACTGAACCCAACTGCAGGTCTATCTAGAGTTGAGCACCAAGCAGCTGTGTCACATTTCCCCCCTAGAAGCACCGAGGGGCTGGATTTCCGCACCCCACCCCCAGATCTATTGAGATATAACTGACATATAACGTTGTGTGAGTTTAAGGTATACAGTGTGTTGATCTGATATATTTGCAAAATAATTACCATCATAGTGTTAGCAAACATCCTTGTCATGTCACATAAATACTATTTCTTCGGTGGTGAAAATATTTAAGATCTACTCTTTTAGCAAGTTTCAAGTATATAATAAGTATTATTAACTATAATTACTATGCTGGACATTAGATCCTTAGAACTTATTTATCTTATAACTGGAAGTTTGTACCCTTTGATCAACATCTTCCCATTTCACGGTCTCCAGCTCTTGGCAACCACCACTCAATTCTGTTGCTATGAGTTTGGCTTTTAGATTCCACGTATAAGTGATATCATCTAGTGTTTATCTCTATCTTACTTCACTTAGCATAATGCCTTCAAGTTTCATCCATGGTGTCACAAGTGGCAGGATTGCCTTCTTTTTCTTGGCTGAATAATATTCCGTTACATATGTGAACCATATCTTTTCAATCTACCCACCAGTTGATGGACACTTAGGTTGTTTCCCTATCTTGGCTCTTGTGAATAATGCTGCAATGAGCATGGAATTACAGATACCTTTCTGAGATCACGTTTTTATTAGCTGTGGCTACATATCCAAAGTGGAATTGCTAGGTCATAGTTCTATTTTTAATTTTGGGGCAGACCTCCATACTATTTTCGGAAGTGACTCTACCAATTTACATTTGAAGAGGGGAGTAGAGGGAGCTGTCCTCCAAGGAGTAAACTTTGGGACCTGAGTGACTAGTGCTACAAGGGAATTCACATTTATTGAGCTCCTACTGAGAGCCAAGCATGTACTCATTTTCTTTTATTCTTCATGACAATGCTTTGAGAGGGGCATAACCATTGCCCATTGACAGATGAGGAAACTGTGGTTCTAAGAGAATTAGTACATTTTTGAGGTCATGTGGCAGAGCAACAGAGTGACAGATGCAGACTGAAAGGTAAAGCTTGATGCCTCCTTTTCCTGTTGTCCAGAAGCCCACATCTAGGGCTTTCCACTGTCTGCCCTTGATAATCACTATAACCTGATATGCAGGGGTGAGGAATGAGGAAGTCACTCAGGGTGATTTACATTTAAACTCCTCAACCTAGAGGTAGGTTCTTAACCTCTTTTAAAAATTATATAAACATATAATAAAAATAGAAACACCTTTATATATGTATTTGGGGAGTAGGTAGTTATCACACATCTATAGAAGGTTTTAATCTAAGGCTTTAATCTTCTCCACCAAAATGCAGAGATTCCCAAATGCACAAAATATACAGTTTCCAGGGGTTCCCTGAGATTAAGAAATATGTGGTAGCCCTGAAAACAGATTTTTTTTCCTATTTCAATTAAATTTGCTTAAGTTGTATCTGAAGATTCTAAAATAAGAGATTCACAGGTTTATAGTGATTTAGCTCTTCAAGAGCTAACAGAGCTTTCACTTGCCCATCTTCCCATTTTGGAGGTGGTCTAGGAGGCAGAGGGAATTGGTAAACTCTCATAGATAGTCAAGTATAGAATTGGTTATCAAACTCCATTTCCCCTAGACCACAGAGTAGTGCTCCTTCCTCTGCCCCAGAGGGAAGTCACACATGATAGCCACTCACGACTTGGTTCAGGTATCAGAATGTGGAAGAGATTATTGAGCCAGATCAAAAAGTTCAAAATCCGTGTAGATTTTAGACATATTAGCATTTACCCGTGTCTTTTATGAAAGCAAAACAAACATCCTACCATAAGGGAAACAGGTATTAGCTTTAATAGTGGTCATGTACCAGGACCCCACTAAGCAACCTTTGCTGCTCCTCCCCTCCCTTTGCTGGAGATGCCTCTTAACCCCTCTGGCTGATATCTGACCCATGGAATTGACCATTTGTTTAGGTGTCATGAGGATACAGACGATATTTCATTTTCTCGGTACTCCCTGGGGCAAAGCCAAGCATAGAGCTCTGACTCACTCGAGGCTTGGGGAAGAAGAACCTTTTCATTATCCATCTGATTACATTAGAAACCTCTGATGTTGCAGACTCCCATTTCTGTGAGCCCTCTAGGAGAAGCTGTCACTGAGTTTGACCTGTGGGAAGACCAAAGCTATGGGAGGTCCCGAGATCACCTTATACGCTTGATGGGAGGAGATCTCTCACCTGTGACCAAGCAGTTTTTCATGGCATTTCCTCTCTAACTCTCTCAACCAGCTGCAAACAGCGACATCTGCTCTGTGTAAGGTATCATGTTAGGTACTGTGGGCAAATCAAAGATAAGTTAAATCAAGCAAGCGATGACCTATCCCTGAGCTAGGTGCTGTGGGAGAGGATGATGATGGTAAAGCGTCCCTCAGAAAGTACCTGCTATGTGCCAGGCACTGTACTATGTACCCCATGTGTGTTTACTCAAATCTTCACAATGGTGCAAGGTAGGAATTGTTCCCATTTTACAAATGATGAAACTTAAGTCCAGAGAGGCTCATTCACTGAATAAGCAGCATTGGTATTCGAAGCATTGTTGTCTGGCTCCAAAGCTTGCATCCTTCTCTCTGCACCAGACTGAGATAAAAAAAAAAAAAAAAAGTGGCAGAAGGTTCATTGTTAGCCCTGAAGGAAATTACAGCAGAAAACAGAATGTGATCAGGGTCCTGAGCAAAGCAGAGGTCAGGGAGGGGACGGCAAGGCAGAGCTGTCCAGAAGAGAGGGCTCTGCAGAGGGACTCTTGAGGTCAGTCTTCCTTGCCTAGGACAGCACTCGGTCTGCCGACTTGGATTCTAATCCTGCTTCCCTCATTTAATAGCTATCAATGTGACCTTGGGCAAGATAATAAAGTGAACTCTAGCATCAAACAAACCTCGGTTATATCCCAGTCCTTCTAATTTATTAGCTGTGTGTCCTTGGGCAAGTTGCTTAATCACTCTGAGCCCCAGTTTCCTCATCTGTGAAATGAAGATCAGGATAGTCCCTAACTCAGATTGGGCTGAGGTGAAGATTGAATGTGACAAGGTGTGTAAAGTGCTTAGGACAGAGTAATAGTAACAGTATCAGTCAAGAGTTATTAAGGGCTTACTAGGTGCTAGGCATCGTGCCCCAAATGCCATATATACATTACCTGATTTAGTCCTGATAATAATATTACGAGGTGGGTGCTATTGCTGTTATGAATGACATTTTATAGGTGAGGAAACTGAGTCTCAGAGTGGTTGCCCAAGCCTGCAGGGCTAGCAGGTGGCAGAGCTGGAATACAATGCACCCAGCGAATGAGAGTAATAATGTAAAAAGAATTGGAGGTGTGTGAGGCGTCTGCTTCATGAGGTAGATTGAGGTCTTAGGGACTTGAAGGAGAATTTTTGCCCTTGATGTAGCACAGATGGGAGAGATGAGAAGCTCCCCTTCTCCTGGACAGGGGACACTGGCTATAGCAGAGGCATTTCCTTTGCCTCCAAAGGCAGCAGATCAGAGGATCCCAGAACTGAGAGATTCCAGCTCCCTCTGGGCAAACCTGTCCTCTCTGGTAATTACAATTTGTCAATTTTGTTGTGGGTTCCCCAGCCCTGAACTTCCGGTAGCATAGCATTGCCCGCTAAGGTAGAGCTCTGTAGCAGTCCTTTGTGCAGTAGGCAGGTGAAGATTAATTGCCAAGTCATCCAGGGCTGAATTCATATCACGTGCTCAGGGAAAGTCTGGAAACCCTGAACTGGGGGCTGGAGTGTGAGGGCACAGGGTGCCAGAACACAGAGTGTGAAAACCTGCGTACTCTGGAACCAGGGAACCGGTCCCTTCTTCCTTATGCCCCGGCAGCTCCTCTGGTAGGACAAGGGAAACAGGTTGCCAACGCCAACCTGTGTGCTGCAGCCTGGAGGGCAAAAGGGAGTGTGTGCAGTTTTCTCAAATGACTCTGGCTGTCCTCTTATGGCTGTGGGCTTTGCCCATCATTTTGCCCAGGAATCTATGGTGGTTCCAAAATTTCTCCAGAAAGAGCCTTTAAGTTGTGATCTGGTTTGAAGGCAGGTGGCGGCTGTGTTTGCACTGTGCTCTCTACAAGCCCGATGCCATTGTCCATAACAAAGAAACAAAGACCGAGGGTAGGGAGCTGTTGGGAGTTTTACTGGGGCTAAAGCCCTCCCAAGATGCCTGTGTATTGCCACTGCCAGGATTTACTTTCCAACCAGATTTGTTAAAACCATCAAAGTTAATGGAAAACATCACAAAGCAAAATTTATGGCAGTAGGCTCCTTACAGCTGACTTTCAAGTCACTGGCCTGTCTGAGCTCTTCTGGTATAGTCAGGATCACCAACTTCTGAGATGTCAGAATCAGAAGGACCCTAGAGATCATCTAGTTCAGGGCTCAGCAAACTATAGCTGGTGAAACAACCCAGCCCATGCCTGTTTTTGTAAATAAAGTTTTATTGGAAAACAGCCATACTCATTCACTTGTGTTTTGTCTGTGGGTACTTTCATGCTACCAAGACAGAGTTGAGTAGCTGCAGTAGAATGATCTGTCCTGCAGAACCTAAACTATTTACTCTCTGATCCTTTATAGAAAATGTTTGTTGACCCTTGATCTAGTTTAACACTGTTATTTTACATGTGGGAACACAAAGGCACAGAAAGGGGAAGGGATTTGCCTAAAATAGAGCCAGTGTTAGTAGCCTAGATGTTTGACCCCATCCCCATGACTGTTTTTTGCCACTGGTTTTTTGTTTTGTTTTTTTACCTCTGTTTCTGCAGCCTGGTGCGGGTTCTGAGTTTGAATCCTAGTGACAGTTGATGAGATGTGAGACCTTGGCAAGCTATGTAATCTCTTGCAGCTTCCATTTTTTTCACCCGAGACCTGGGGATAATGCATCCTTGAGATAAGGCACATACTAGGTGGTTGTGAGAATTAAAGGAGCTGTAGTATATAACACTTTAGGATGGGAACTGGCTCATAAAAAAGCACGATAAAAAAAGTGTGCTACTATTATTGGTGTCCTCTGTGATTTTATATGTATTAATCTTATCCCCTACCCCTGCCACATTTCATGAAGGAAAGGGCTACCCCTTACCACTGGTTCTTTAACTTTTTCGGTCCTAGACTTTGTTGGGGGTCTACTGAGAGCTGTGGACACATTGCTTTATTCCACACTTTGCCTGAATTTTTTATAGGAGCTTTCTCAGTGCCAGGTTCCTGTCAGGTCCCCTTGATCAATTGATCTCCACTCTGTTACTTCTTATTTTTGTTTGCTAGGCTTCTCTCCCTCTAATTCTATCTTGGTGTGACATCTTTCACTCTTGGGCAACAGAATGAATCCAGTGTTTTACCTTTCATCGTGGAGCAACACTTGAACTGAATAAAGTGAGTGGATGCTGACTTACTCTGTCTTTCCAGACCTCATGGTCTAAGATGAATAACGGGAATGTGCATCTGAGGGTGCACAGAGAATTGTGTCTGACATTGAACATGTATGTGAGTTAAATAAAGAAACAAATACATGGCATAGGTCTTGAATTTCTCCATCCTTCTTCTTCCTCTTTTGTACTGTCTGAACCAAATCATCCAACCTTTTTTGGGGGATTTTCACTTGCGTTGGCCACCAAGTTCAGAAAGGTCTAAAGGAAGTGGTGGGAAGCTTTTTCCTTGGGGGCATCTAAAAATTGTATCGGCTATTAGAAACCAGCTTTGGAGAGGGCAGACCCGGCCTCTGGGGAGCAAGGCGAGGAAGTGATGTCAGAGGACGATTTCTGTCTTCTTATTTCCATTCTCTGACAGAGATGACAGCGTAAGGCCCTGGGGTGAGGATGGGCTCTTTTTGGGAAAAGATTGTGCCATCCCTGTGGGTCCTGTGGGCATGGCAAAGGAGGGAGGAGTGTGAGAAAGAGGCAGTTTTCTTTGCCTATCACTGCCATAGACTGAAGAATGCTGGGACAGGAAATGTCCAGCGTTTCTCAGCTATTTACTGGACGCCAACCCGACAAATTTGGAAGGTTGCCTCAGGAGTCCTGAAAAGATGAAGGAAGAAGGAGGAGCCTTGTTTGTTTGTTTATTTTTTTCTTGCTTTTTGTGGGACTTCCCTGGTAAGTGCTTTTAGGTAGGTGGTATGAGGAAGATGTTGTGGAAACTTCTAGACAGAGCACCTAGTATAATGGCTATTAACCACATGGTATGAATTGCAAGTTTCTGGAGGGGCTTCCAAATGTCTCCCAGCCCTTTGGAGTGCTCTCCATTTAAAGGTAAGCATTGCCTTCTTCCCATGGCCCTATTTTAATTAACTGTAAGTACAGTTCTGCACCAAGCATATGCCAAGCTAATTCACAGGCTTCATCTTATTTGATTCTCCAAACAGCACTTTGGAGGAAGATATTGTTGGCTCCAATTTACTGATGAAAAAACTGAGGATAAGAGACATCAATAAACTTGCTTAAGGTTACCCAGAGATGGGATTAGTGCAGAGGCAGTTTGACTCAAAGTTGATGCTTTTCACCTCCCAGATAATCCAAATTTGGCTGCAGGCTGACCTCACTGCTAAACAAAACTACAGGAATTTCTGGGCAAACCTCAGTGGGCTGGGCACAGAGATCTAGAGAGGCAGAAGTCACTTTGGGCCATGTGCTACCACACAATACAAACATGAATTTTTTTCTGGAGTTGGATCTAAGGACTACATCTCTCTTGCTAACTCATCCTTGTGAGCTCAGGCTTGAATCTGAATTCTTCCAAGTGGAAGGGTGGGAGACCTGATCCAATAATTGTCTTTAAGGACTGCAAAGTTTATGTTATTGGTCCCATCATGGTAACCAACTATTGAAGGGAAAGATTGAGAGAGAGAGAGAGAGAGAGAGAGAGAGAGAGAAATAGAGAAAGAGAGTGTAAGCACATATATAGACTCCAAAGAGCATGAGAGATGCCAGCTGGACCTCAGGAAGTAGCTTATCAAATATCAGATCAAATTCTAGTTCCTGCCACTTCCTAGTTTTGTGACCTTGGGCAAAGTTACTTCATTTATTTAGGCTCCCAGTTGTTTATCTGTAAAATGGGGATTTTAATAATATTTACCCCGTATCAAGTTGTTATAAGGATTAAATGAGGCTTTGGCACCTAGAAAGCTCCCAGTAAATATTAGTTATCATCGATATTTTCTATCATCCTAAAAATACAGACTAGGTTTCTCAGTATCTGGAGTATTTAGGCACACATTTTCCTAGCTAATTTCTCAGTGATACTTTCAACCCTTCACTTGCTAGTTCATGCAACTGATTCCTTTGTTTTGTTTTTTTTTTTTCTGATACAAATAGCTCTGAAAAAACAGTGGCTGGAAAAATAGCAATAATATAAACAACAATAGCTATCATTTTTTTGAGAAATTACTGCATGCTAGGCTTGTGTTATGGGCTTTGCATGCCCCATCTCATCTTAACACTAGAATCCTATCAGGTAGGAGGAAATATCTATCTGACCTTTGAGATGCAACTTATGAAAATAACTCTATCACACTCAGAGCCCAGTGCTTGATGGAAATATTTCTTCATGCAGAGAACTCCTAGTGATAATGGAGACTGAGCCAGGGTGGGTACCGTTGGGCTCGGGAAGTGGGGAGTCGTAGGCCATTAGCCCCAGAAGCTTGCTGTGTGCAGAGGTAAAGGGAACCAGCTTGGTCTGGCAGGCAGGGCGACAGGCTCTTGGCCTATAATTCTTGGCCACTGGTACAATTAGTGTCAACAGGAATTTTCATCGTGTATCAGACTGAAGAGGGTCACAAACCATAAACCATCACATCAGAGGCCAACCATTTGTGCCCTAGATAGGGAAGAAAGGGGGACTCATGAACCTCCACCTGCCCTGGACAGTGCAGAAAGGACTAGATCCATGAGAAGGGGAAGAAGAGAAGGTGGGAAAAGGCAGGGAACAAACTCCAGTGAATACACATTTTAAATTAAATTCCGAGGTTTGAGTAGAGCAGTGAAAAGAAAATGAGGTATTCAGTCTAGAGCTATTTTCTCTCAAGTTAAGCTGGAGAACTTGTCCCTAAAACAGCTGGACCAGCTCCAAGTATAAAAGTTCAGTCGTTCATTGTCACCTTAAAACATTAGAATGTTCTTTTGCTCAGTCTGGGGTATTGCCCACTTTACGCCTTCTGGGTGCTGCTCTGTTGGAAGCCTAGAAATTTAGAAAGGAAGAAATATGGAGCCACTGAGCTGGCAAAGGTTTGCTTAGAGAGCCAGTGATGCTCAAGCTTTACTGGGCCTGAGTTACCTAGAGTGAGCCTTAAGATGCAGCCCCAGAGATTTTGATCCAGTAGGTCTGAAGTGAGGTCCAGGATGAATAAAGAATATTTCTTCCCCACAAGGATCTTTATGGGAAGGTGGGTCATAAACTAGCATTTACTAACAGTGTGGCATTAAATAACACTTCTAAAATCTTCAGTATCTCATCATTTGTCACACAAATGATGGCAATCGCAAATGCTATGAGTTTGAATTATACTGTGTGTGTAATGTGCTTTGTGTTGGATTTGACACATAGTAGGTCCACTCAATAATGTCAATTCTTCTTCCTCTAAGGGAGGAAGAGATTTCCCATGGCTGACTAGGTTAGCTGGTCTCTGCAGAGGAGGGGTGCTCTCTTTGGGGCTCTGGGGGAGTATATTCTACTCTCAAAGTAATTTTTTTCAACTCCATAAATGCAACCATTTTCATTCAGAATGAATATCTATCTAGAAACAATTATTTGTGTTCAATCTGGTCCCCTTGAACCCAACTGATCCACTTGCTCGATGTAACTGGAGGAAGAGAGGCATTCAGAATCAAAGCTGGAAGGGTTTGGAGAGGTTGTGTGGCCCTTCCCTCATGTCACAGATGGGGAAACCAAGGCAAGACAAATGATGTGACTAGGGTCACTCAGAGCCAGAACCAGGACTGAGTCCTCTAAGGTCTAGCCCAAGACTCTTAAAAATAAATATACTTAATATAACTTTTATTTGCATTATTTAATCACTAAACCGAAGGAAATAGATTTTAAAAAATTATTGAAGTAAATTGTTCCTATGGTAAAAGCTATGGAAAGGTACAGAGAACCAAAGAGAAATTTCCCTTTATTCCACTGTCCAGAGAGAACATCACTGTAAATATTTTGGTAAATGGTTTCTAGCCTTTCCACTCATACATGCACATGCATGTGCAGGTATGCCCACATATGCATGCACACACATAGAAGCACATCTTGTTTGGGTGCCTAACCCCTGTTCCCCTTGTACCCACAACTGTCTCCCGAGTTCCCCACAGCCAGACCCAGGCTGATGGTCCCCTATGGCTCTAGAGAGGGAGACACTGACCCCATCAGACCCAGAGAGAGCTCAAGGACCCTTTTGGTAAGGGATTAGGAGATGTGGGGATGAAGGTTTGGAGTAAGGTATGGCCGGGTATTCCAGTCATCATGTGACCACAGTGTGGGCTGTGGACATGAACGGAACTGAGTGATGTCTGTCCTCACACACTCCCACAGGAGTCACCAGAATAATTCCTGTGCGTTTAAGTGGCTAGTTGGCTGTTACAAGTGGATCCAATTCTTAGTAGAACTTTTGAATGAGTGACTTAATCTCTCTGAGCCCAGTTTCTGCCTCTGTAAAATGGGATAATACTTGGAAGACTACGGTGAAGATAATATACTACTGCTAGTACTACCAATAGCAATAATAATGATTAAATTTATAGCTGCCTCTATTAATTGTTTGCTGTGGTCAGGACTTATGCCAAGCAGTTTAATATATTGTTTCACTTAATCTTCACACCCACAGAGAATGGAAGGGGGATCTGTTGTGTGTGATTGCTTGCGTAACAGTGAAGGACTGAGATGCGGGACCAGATTCCAGCTGCCCTGATTCCTGTCACAGTCATTTTGCTAACTGATCCCTCCTGCTTCTTTGAACATTAGGTAGGGGGATCTTGGTGCTTTTCTGGGCCTCTTGGCTGGGAGCCACCTCTGCCCTCTGCAGGGGACAGGACATTGGTTCCAGACTAGAGACTGGGAAGTGCCTGCTGGGCTGTCGCTGAGAGGGCTGGGACACTGGCCAGAGCCCTCTCTGTCTGCAGCATCCTTCTTCCTGGCTGTGCCCCAGTGTTCCCTAGGTAACCACGGGGGACGCGGCACAGATTTATGGCCCTGCCGTTCCTGAACAAGTACCTGACATGTTCTGTCCGAAAGCAATGGTGTCTGGCTCCCAGATGACTCACTGGGCAGGGAACAGACACATGCGGGTGGCACAAAAGGAAGGAAAACCCCCACTTTCACCTCCCACAAACAGAGACACTGAGAGGAGATACCGAGAGGAACGGATCCATCATGAAGACTGTTTAAAAGTCAGATGCTCAAGGCTCCCATTTTATAGATGGGGACATTGAGGCCCTATTCCATCTGCTCCTTTATTTCGCAAGCATTGGTTGAACTTGGTGCCAGGCTATGTTAGATGGCCTGGGAATCACAAATACGGAAAAAGCACAGACTGCCATCAACGATGCTATTGACTAAGCAAAGGGAATAACGCTGTGCAACAGGGAATTGTCACCAGGGTGGGATGTGAAAAGTGTGGAAAGGCCTCAAGAGTTAGCATGTCAGTCATTTTTATTTAAATAGGTTCACGTTTTTGGGCTGGGGGGCAAGGAATTCTTTGCAGGCGGGCTGAGATTGCCTCTCCACCCCCTATCAGAGCCAAGGCACCTGCTGCAACTCTCCACCTGGCTGCATATAGGTCCCAAAGAGAATTCAATGTGTCTCTCTTACCACCAGCTTCCCCCATACTTCTCAAGGGAGACTCCGGCAACATACATTCTTGATCCGATGCAGTCCCAGCTGCAGCACTGGAAGAACAGAATGCATATTGGATGTTATTATAAGAACCAAGTGTCAATACAAAAATCATTTTGTCAGTAACAAAAAATACGTTCAATTTCATTTCATTATTTTAATATCAACTAGGTGCTAAGGAAAGCTGAGATGAACATGAAATCCCTCAAGAAGCTTCTAGAAAGGTTTTGGGATTTTTTTTTTTACAAGGTAACATCTGGATGATTTTAAGATAGTTGGATGTTACAGAACTGAAATTACAGTTTACAGCAGGTTCATTAGTTCATGCTGGTAGTTAGCACGTCTTTATTTATTTTTAAAGTATTGTTCCTATTGGGATTCTATTTGGTCTATTTGGCTGGTGCTGGAGGCAGGAGGGGATGCACCTGCTGAGAAGTCTCCTCACTTTTCCCTCTGAGGAAGGTGAACATGCTGCTCTAAGACAGAGAGAGAAAAAGAAGATTTGACTGGGTTGCTGTAGAGAGTCAACCATCTTTGGTCTCCACTCCTTAGGAGCTTGTTGGAATAGCACACATAGTTTACATAGTAAATAAGTCTACATTAACGTACTTACTTAAAAGTAATGTCAATGCATCCAAATGTAGGGGACGCCTGGGTGGCTTAGTGGTTGAGTGCCTGCCTTTGGCTTAGGGTGTGATCCCAGAGTCCTGGGATCAAGTCCCACATCAGGCTCCCTCTGAGGAGCCTGCTTCTCCCTCTGCCTATGTCTCTGCCTTCTCTCTGTGTCTCTCATGAATAAATAAATAAAATCTTTAAAAAAATACACCCAAATGTAGATTTTCTCTTTCAGAATAGTAACCTCAGCAGGCAGTAAGCTTGTTTCAATAATTCATTTAAAACTATGTTTTCCTCCTCTTTCAATATTGTTCTCAAACCAATGCACATTCTTGCATCCATCATGGTGGAGTCAAATATCCATTAGCTGAGAGCAGATGTGATTTTCAGAATTGATAGTCCTAGGTACCTAGCTCTGGTCTGTCTCAGATCCATCCATGACTTCCCCTGTGCTGTTTTATAAGGCTGGGGGCTGATCCCACCCATCCTCCAGGCTCCCTTGCTTCCAGCTGGATTTGGTCAGAGGGGAGCATGGCAGCAGGGCGAGAAACAGAAGTTATTCTTTAACAAGAAATGTATGGGACCTCTATGGAGGAAATGACAAAACTTCAGTGAGCAGCACTAAAGCGGACCTGAATAAATAGAAAGATATGTTACACTTCTGGAAGTATTGTAATGATGTCAATGTCCCACAGTTTAATCTATTAATTGAAGACAATTACTTAAAAAAGATATCAATGAGATTTGGAGGGAACTTAACAAATGATTCCAAAGTGCTTTTGGAAGAATACATGCTTAAGAATAGCCAAGAAAATTTGGAGAAAGGAAGGTTATGTGCAGGGAATTGCCCTACCAGATTAAAATGCTTGACCATGTGACTGGCAGAGGTTAGGCAGGCAGATCCCCAGAATAGAACAGATCATCTAAAACTAGATTCAACAATGCATGAAAATTAGTATGTAAAAAGATGACATTTCCGTTTTTCACAAATGGTGAAAATTTTTAAATATTTGGAAAAAAATAGTTAGAGCCTTACTTCTCACTTTACATGAATTATACACTCCAGATAAATTAGAGATTTAAATGTAAAATATCTAAATCATAGAAATATTAGAAGAAAGTCTAGGTACGTATTTTTAGTTCTTTAGGGTTAGTGAAATTCTTTTTAACAATCAACATCAGAAATCATGACAGATTAAAAAAAAAGAAATCATGACAGAAACAAGTACAAATATAAATAAAAATGTGAAGCATATAACAAAATTTCCTACATTATCAAGTTAAAACACAAAGGAAGTATTAAAAAGATTTTCAACTTATATGAATAAGGATAATTAATATTCTAGATATTCAAAAATCCTTGTAGATCAACAAGGAAAAGATGAATAACATCCAAATAAAAATGTGAAAAGAACGTGAATGGATAAATCTTAAATAAAATATATTGATGATCAATAGTCATATACAAATTTGTGTAGTGATAAATATCTAGCTTTTACCTACTGGGCAGATAGAAAGGAATAAAATTAAGTCTGAAAAGTCTGGAAAGAGTGAGAGAAAATTGATCATCCCATACAGTGTCTATAGGTGTGTAAATCAGCACATTTGTCAAGGGAGTTTGACAAGAGGTGTTATAAGACTTGCAAATGTGTATTCTTTAACATAGCAATTCCACTTCTTCGAATTTACCTTAAGGAAACAAGCAAACAAATGCACAAAGATCTGTTTATCACAGTTTTGATATAAAAACAAATCGACACAAACACACTCACACCTAGTTGGAAGCATCCTAAAAGTCTGCTAGTAGGGAATTGCTTAAAGCATTCGGAGAAGGCAATGCAGCCATTTAGAGGACAGAGATGGAAAATTGTGATGTAGTATATACTTAATGAATAGCCTTTCCAGAAAATATTGGAAGTGAAAAAAACTAGATGACAAACTTTACGAATAAAGTCTGCTGTTACAATACATATAGAAATGTGTAGGTGATTTTAAAAGAGGTGATAAACATATAACAAATACATTGGCTGGGATTATATTGGAGTAGGTAGAGGGATTATAGAAGGTTTCATAATTTCCCCTGTTTTCTAAAGGCTTCCCCCCCTTTTAAAACAGACATGTAATCAATTGTCTTCCTCTTCTAAAAAATAATAATAATTTTGGAAAGACAAAATCAATTGTATCAAAATCTGGAATCAAAGCGGGAGGCTTTTTTTAATTTAGAGCTTCACTAAAATGGTACTTAACCACTTTTCCACAAACTTTTTGGCCCATTTTGTTCCTTTAGCTAGAAATATTCTTTCCAAGATGACTTCCCCCTAACAATCCCAATCTTTTCCACTTATTAAAATCCCACTCAGACTTTCAGGGTTGGCTAAGTACCAGCAGGAACTCCCCTCTCCCACACACCGTCCTCAGCCTTGCAGCCAGATTTGCTTTGTCCTTCTTCAGTGCTCCCAGCACACGTCAGACACTGCTATAGCACAGTCCACACCTGCAGCTGGGTGCAGTAGTTTCTTGGGAATTTCTTGTCTTAATACCCCCGACCCTGCCTTTGCAGGAGCATCAAAGTGGAGTTTTATGGGCTGAGATACAGGTGGGGAAGCCCTACCTGGGATATTGGAAGGCATCATGTTGGAGGGGGATGCAATACTTACAACCACAAAAGTCCAAAAGCAGGAATTAGGGAGAGGACCAAATCTGGCAGGCTGGACAGACTTATGCTGGGACTAGACATCATATCTATCAGGCCCACGAGTTTGTAAGGACTCTTTGCTCTAGTTGATGGAATATCAGCTGCAACTGGCTTAAGCAAAACCAAGAATTTATTATAAGTCAGTTGAATATAATAAGCAATTCAAAACCTGGCATGTATCCGGGCTTCAGTAGCAAATGGAACCAGGGCTTCAAGACCCTTTGGATAAATTCTCATATACTGTATCTCAGCTTTGTTTCCCTTCACAGGATGAAACCTCTTTTCCTCTGATCCACATGATGAGAAACAACCACAAAACAACTCCCGTTTTTACATCTTAGAATGTAGGCAGCCACAAAAAGCCTGGCTTCTTTCCATCTTGTTCCCAAACTTCCACAGAAGGGCTCAGACAAGTCTGCATGGGTCAGAGGTTCTGCCTCTGGGCCAGTTGGCTATTTCTGGGAAATGGGTCTTATGATTGGCTCAGGTTGGGTAGGTAACCAGCCCCGGGCCATCTACCTTTGCCAGGGGAAAGGGGGGTGTCACATTATTCTGAGATGACTTCTATGGTGACCATAGAAAGAGGTGCCTCACAGCTATTCACTAGAGCACATAAGGATCCAAAATGGGATGGAGGAGAGAAAAGCAGGAAGGGTTTGCCTACAAAACCACTCAAAACTTGAAAACTATTCTTAAGAGCCAGCAGGAGTACACTGTTTGGGTGGATTGGGCAGCTGCCTTATTTTTTCCTTCTAAATTATAAATGCTCTGAGGCCCTGGATGTTTTTGTTGTTGTTTCTCATTTCCTAGTGCTTGTCCTAACCCCTTACACCTAATGGGTGGTCAGTGAAGGTTTGTTGTAATTTTGATCTATAGCATTCTCATTGGGGTTTTTGCAAACTGTATCTGTAGTACTTCAAAAAAGAGTACTAGAAGCATTTTTGACATTAAGAAATAAATCCACAGCCTCCCTCCCCAGTTAGCTGCTTTGATAAGAGCACTCACTTGGAAGGGGAAGTCTTGGTAAGCATGGCAATAACTTGTTTCATTTCCCCAGTCCCTTTGTGTGTGAGTGATATGTGTGGGAGAAGCACATAGATGGAATTTGGGATGCATATTGAGCATCTCACAGCGGCATGCAGACTTCCCATTTCTCTTGGGCTCTTGTCAGTTATACCAGGGCCAGTTTTAGCCAGAGGTCAAGGGTGCAAATTTCACTCTATAGATTCAAGAATTCAGATATATTCAGTGAGGATTCTTTTTTTTTTTTTATGATAGTCACAGAGACAGAGAGAGAGAGAGAGAGAGAGGCAGAGACACAGGCAGAGGGAGAAGCAGGCCCCATGCACCGGGAGCCCGACGTGGGATTCGATCCCGGGTCTCCAGGATTGCGCCCTGGGCCAAAGGCAGGCGCCAAACCACTGCGCCACCCAGGGATCCCGTCAGTGAGGATTCTTTTAGTGGAAAGTCTGTGCCAACCTACTTAAGCACAAAGAATTTATTGGTTCACGTCAAAGAATCTCTGGCTTCAGGTGAAGCTTGATACAGGGCTCAAACAGTACCAGAATACAGATTCTCTATCTTTTTTTTTTTTTTAATTTGCTTCTTTCATAAGAGGGCTATTTTTTAAATTTTTATTTGTTTATTTTTAAAATATTTTCTTTATTTATTCATGAGAGACACACAGAGAGATAGGTAGAGGGAGAAGCAGGCTCTTCGCAGGGAGCCGATATGAGACTCGAT